CCCGCTACAGGGAAGTGCTCCCACCGTCTGCTCTTGGCCCCTGTTGCGTGGCCACCCCCCTGCTGAGTGTCCACACCGTCTGTTGGCTCATGCAGCCCTCAGTTCACCTGTGTGCTTTTTTTTTCTATGAAAAACAATGATTTTTACTGTTTCCTAAGCACCAATTGTAAATGTTTTCATGTGTGTGTGTGCTGGGTGTGGGGAGGGGCCGTGCTGTTTAAATAAAACATGGCTTGATGTCTAAAATGCCTCTGGACCGTGCATCTGTGATGGGCACAGCTGAATGGTCTGTGATGTGGGGCGGGACAGCCAAGACCTTGTCACGCGCTCCCCTTGACTTCCTTGACTCCACTTTTACCCCAAGCGCCAAGGAGTCCTGGCGGGGGTTGTGTTGGGCTGCTAATCCCAAGGTCAGCTGTTCAAAACCACCCGCCGCTCCAAGGGAGAAAGACAGGGTGTTCTGCTCGTGTAAAGGTTCACAGCCTCAGAAATCCACAGGGGCGGTTCTACCCTGTCCTGTAGAGTCACTGCGAGTCAGAATGGGCACGGAGGCAGTGAGTGTGATGCTACCAGGTGAGCTGTGTCTGTCAGGTATGCTAATCACCAGGCTACATTAGAGGCACCATCTCAAGACAAGCCCAGGAAACCCCTGTAGGGGGTGCCTATGAGGGGGGACTGGCCCGATGGCAGCAGGTTTGGCAGGGTGGGCCCTAACACAAGTGGAAATGCTGTTAGCTGCCTTTGAGCTGGGACCCCGCTCACCGCAGGTTGGAAGCTGCCGGTGTGACCAGTGGCAGGCTGGACCGGTTATGATCTGTGGGCTTTTTTCTTTGGTTGATGTTCAGAATTGGAGCGCCAGGTCTTTCTTCCTTGTCTGTCTCAGTTTAAATGCCCTGTTGAAGCCCATTCAGCATCGTAGCAACATACATACCTCTGCTGGCTGACGGGCAGTGACTGCGTGAGGGACCGTGGCCGGGAATGCAGCTGGGGTCTCCCACAGGAACGCCAGCCCCCTGCCACCCAGTCAGTTCCAACTCACAGCAACCCTGTCGGGCAGAGCAGCTCTGCCCCCATTGGGTTTCCAAGGCTATCTATCTCGACAGAAGCAGACAGCCTCGTCTTTCTCCCAAGGAGCAGCTGGTGGGTTTGAACCACCGGCCTTGTGGTTAATGGCTGAGCACTTAACTACTGGGCTGCCAGACTCCTGAGATCACCCATAGTGTCTTCCCCAGAGAGTGGGGAGAAGGAGTAAAGAGACTGCGCCGCACGCAGCCTCTGGGCCCCTCTGGGCCTTGTGTTTTGTTGCCCTCATTCCAGCGGGAGAAAGATGAGGCGGTCCATCCCATGACATGGCCCACTCTCGGATCCCCACAGGGCCGTTCTCCCGGTCCTCCAGGCCCCTGTGAGTTGGAATGAACTTGATGGTGGCGGATTTTTACTTTTGTTTTTAATTCCAATGAGTGCCTGTCATGGAGAGACAGATTCCCACCAGGCAGACAGAGCTTCCTAACTGGGAGAACCGTCCAAAGACAAGACGGCCCCCACACACGAAGGGCAGGGTGAGCTGCCCGTCACCAGGAGAATGCAAGGAGAAGCCGGAGAAGCATCTGGGCACTGGCACAGCAGACACAGTGGCCGCAGCTTGACCTAGTTTGGGTTAGGTCAACTTTTAGACCCCTTCCCTGATTAGAGTTCCCAGCTTCAACCCCCAGTTCCCTGGGGAGTCCTCCCCATGGGTCCCCACACCATGACTGCGTCATCCTAGAAAATAGGCACACACACACACAAAAAAAGTAAGAAAAGAGGCACCACTCGGTAGCCACCCAGTAGTAGCCAAGTGGTAGCCACCCAGGTGCTCCTGCCACAGTGGCGTTTCATTCGGCTGTTTGGTTTGGTTTTTGGTAGCCCATCTCCTTTCACCTTTTTTGCTTTTTTTATACCAAACCAAAGCCTGCTGTGTCAGTCCAGTTGACTAGAGAAATAAATTCATAGACACTCATGTGTATATAAGAAAGAGCTTTATAGACAAGAGCAGTTGAATATTGAGAAAACATCCCAGCCCAGTCCAGATCAAGTCCATAAATTCGATTTTATCCCATATGTCTGTTACCAATCTATAAAGCCCTCTTCACACTCACGCAATACACACAATGGTGCCAAATACAGGAGGATCACAGGCCAGTGGGTGGGAAGTCTTGTGGATCCAGTGGCATTGTAAACATCTCAGCACTGGCAGGGTCTCTCTGTGGCTTCTCCCGCTCCAGAGGTCTGGTTGCATCAGGGTAGGCCCATGTAGCTTCTCCAGGGTGTAGTCTCACCCGCCTCCAAGGAGCAAAACCAGGATTTTCCAGAATTCTGAGGAGAAGGCCACGCCCACACAGAGGCCTCATTGGCTATGATCCGATTGACAGAGTAGACTC